CCCTTCCGGGCCCTCAAATACCTGCAAATCAGAGGACCCCGGAGCTACTCGAACAGCACACTATCGGCGCTGGAAAGTGCACTGTTTGTGTGGGCGAACACTAACATCACACAAATAACACTTATTGGGGGGAACGACACGATTGTGGTACCCGTGGAGGGTCTCTATAGCAGCACTTTTGCCATCAAATCCGTGTTTAACGTGAGACCTATCGGTCAACGGAACGGCTATTTGGACGCTACCATCGTATTGGGGGTCGTCGTAGTCGTGTCACTCGTGTCCAACATGTTGTGTCTCATGGGTTACATACGTAGACGTAATCTGATGGACAGGGATCAGGCGTTAAACGATTATCGCGCACCACTCAATGTTTATGGCAACCTTGGTACTGTACCTTGGTAGTATAGTTTATAGTTTCTTATAAAAATTCATTTGTAAACCATTTGTATTTACTTATCATTTAATTCATGTCTACATTTGCATTCAATTTAATTTAATCGTAAGTTCTGTCATATTTCACATATAATTAAATATTTGAGTCTCAATTCAATTATGTTTACAAATATTTTAATAATCATGGTAAATTTAATAAAATTTATTAATCGTTACAAAATGATCGTAAAATACATAAAATAGATGAGAAATACTAGTTAGCATTTAAATAATAAATTAGTAATCAATGGTTCAGTCGATGGCCTCCTTTTGCTCCCAAATCTGTATATAACTCTCGGATAATGTGATCATTTGTGGCAATATCTCAGACACGTGTAGGTCCTGCAACTCAAACCACTTCCCGGTGCCCTATATATCAACACAAACATCACAAATGAATTAAACATTAATGCAAATCATGAGTACTGCTGCACACATACCCTATGCAAGACATGGCACCTATAGGTGCCTTTGCCGGCCTCGGGCTCGCCTTCGTGGACCACATTAGCGATGAGATCATAGACGCAGTGATTGGCGGTCCTGTGTTCAGGCGATAGGAGTTCCGAGAGGTCGACGTTCCTGAGCGGGAAGTTAACGATCGTTGGGTTCTTTTCGGTGAAGAATGTGTTTCTCGTGAACCGTTTGA